AAGTTTTCCGACGAGTATGATTATATATATAACGACATTACAGCACGTGTGATTTATCTGACAAGTCTGTGAGGTAAAGGTGTTTTTTTTTAAATTTTATTTCTTCTGTTTTTGAACACTGTGGTTGTCGTGGAGACAGACAGGGACGGCGAGCGAGCGGACGAGTAGCGCGGGGTTTTTGTTTGTTTGTTTGTTTGTTTCCGGATTGGCCGAGTTCGCCGTCGCGCCGCTTCACTCGCCCGCGTTCCTCGTCGACCGAATTTAGGTGGAACCGCTGCACTCGCTCACATCGGATCTGCACTCGTTACACACACACACACCGGACAGACGTGCTTTCGGTCGCGCCTGGGGCTCCGGCGCCCTCTTTTGCATTTTTCTTACGCGTAGTTGTTGTGCTCTCTCTCAAACTTGCCTTTAAAACTCCCCCGACTCGGACCCGTTTGAGTCTCTTTATAACTGTACGTGGGCACGAGGCTGATGAAAGTGGCTGAATTCTTCCTTTAAAGAAAAACAAAATAACGCAAATCCAAGACTCGTCGGCCTTCCAGGACGCTCAAAACTCTGGAGAAAAACAACTCAAAATTCTGGATTCTTTCCTCCTTTATGACTTCTTCAACTTTTTTCATCATTTTCTGACATTTATCAACCAAACAACTGAAGTTAATTACTCCCTTCTGCTTGAGCAGGGTGAAGCCGCAGCTAGCTAGCTTAGCTTAGCATAAACACATAAACAAATCCTTCCCAAAGGCTAAAGAAAAGTCGATCATTGAAGCCAATAGAAGAAACCTTTTGATAATTTCTGAAGCTCAGGTTTTTGATTGAAAAGATTTCATTGATCCCAGCGTCTCGAATGTTAAATTTCGACTGAGCCTCTGCGACCGTTCGCTGAGTTAAACGAGCATCTGACACTTTATCCAAACGCGCTGCTAGTTTTATCCCTGATTTCTTTTACTTAAACGACCATCAACAATGAATTTCCAGACATCACTTTGAGCTTCTTTTTTTTTTTACACTAAACAGTTTCATTATTGAGGAAAGTAATCATTAGTCGCCACAAATTCCAATCACACGACTCACTTTCATCATCCAGAAAAATCAATTTCCGGCGTCCGGCGTGACGTCAGACGGTCTCGGCCGAAGCGTCTTGAGGAAAATTCAGCCTCTTCGGTGTCACTGAGCTGTTTACAAGCCTCCTGCCTCTCTGCCCACAAAACATGGGAGCATCTCCGAAGAGCTCGACAACGTTAAGAGAACCAAAAGTCCCAGAGTAGGAGTGAACTCTGTTAGTATTGTAGAAGTGAAACAGTATTATTGTCTGTCATACAGAATGTGGATAAAAGGAGTCAGCGGTCGTGTCCTGATCCATTAGCAGGATTGTCACAGCGTTTCTGTCCGATAAAGGACCCTAATTTCTGTCTGTCTCTCTCTACACTGCCACTCCCCCCCTCAACAGCCCTCCAAGCTCCAGTTAAAACCCCCCCCACCCCAAAAAAAACCCTCCAACCTCCAGCCCCGCCGCCCCCTAGTGGCCCAGTCCCAGTCAGGTTCATCACTGTGGGCCCTTTCTTTCTTTTTTTTTTTTTTTTATCTCGTCATGATCCTCAGCAACATGTGTCCCCCCGAAAGCATCAGAACCACCTAAAAGAAAAAAAAACTACCTGTGCAGCGAAAAAAAAAGGGTTAAAATTTATCCATAATACTGTTGTTATAGAAATATTATCATCATCATTATTGCTGTTATAATTATGGTTGGTATAATTTGTCATCATTGTTAGCATTATGGAAGCACCAGACGGTTTGTGGAAGGGTGAGAGAAGAAAGCTCTTTTTTTTTTCTTTTTTTTCTTTTTTTGTTTGTTTTTTTATTTTATTTTAAATTTGTCTGGCTGTTGGTGGTCTGATCTCACAGAGGGAGGGGAGGAAAGGTTCAGAAAGAGACAAAGATGGCAGTCATGTTTGTACTGGTTGGGAAATGACTTACAGTGCTGAAATAAAATTTATTCTTTTAGTAAAAAAAAGGATTCCTCGCGTCCGGTGTCTTCATTTTGGAGATCGGTTTAAACTACAGGAGAGAGAAAACGTAAAGAAAAGCTGTAATAATCTGAATTTCTTGAATTTTAATCCATATTGAATTTAAAGGAATAGTTCTGGAAAGTGTTTAAGTACAATTTGCCGCTTGAATTTTTCCAGTTTATTTTAATTCTGTATTCATCTTGTAGCAAAATCAGCCCCAATTAGTAGAATCAGTAACAGGAGGTGCTTTGAGTTCAGGCAGATTGTCGTTTTTTTATGCTATTAAGTGAAACAGAGAGAGAGGAGAGTTAAACAGGCTTATGGTATTAAGAGAGCAGTTTTTTTGGAATTACAGGAATTAAATGTCTTATTGCAATAAGCTCAGAGTTTTTAAAAAATGAAAGGAACTCCTGATCCATGTAAATCTTTAGAGATGCTTTTATTCTTTATGCCGACTTGTTCTGATTCACTGCTGTGGATGGTTGAAATCGGTCCCAGCATGCAATGAGCAGCCCTCTGGGCAGGTGAGCTTTTCTCATCATGGTGTTGTGTGAAGCCCGACTTCTACCTGGATGCTGTTTGGTGCAACATTTTCATGCAACCTGGTGCTGCAATTTGTTGAAGATGCAGAGAAACGAGGCTCTGAAACCGTTAAAGGCTTTTAAAACAAACGGTGCACTTAAAAAACCCGGCAGCTGCTCTCTGAACTAACTGGAGTCAGAGTTGGATGAGTTACAGTCATCCAGCTGTGAGCTAATAATAAAAAAGAAAACAGTTTCCAGGTCCTGGTGAGATGAAAAAAAAAAGATCTGCGCTGAAATAGGCTGCTGACCTGTTTATTTAAATTAAAAAGTGGTCCAAGCTTACACCAATATTCAGGACTATGTTGTGCACATTGTCAGAGGGCCAAATATAATTATGTCAGATTTGTTTTCATTGAACTGAAGGAAACTTGATGTCACTGATGAAGCAAAAGAGGCTCATCGCTGAACAAAGAGCATACTGTTTCTGAGTAAAACTAATGAAGTATATATCTATAAAATGTCTTTTTTTAAAACGGTATGTAATGTTTTTTTGTTTTTTACCATAACAGGATTTAGACAAACACTTTATTTGTGCCTTTGGGGAAATTCAAGGTATCCAATCGCTCATACATGTTACATTGAAGAAAAATATGAAAAACAACTTGAAAACCAGGCTGGAAGAAGAAGAAAAAAATAAACTAATAATAATAGATTATTATTGTTATTATAAGTTCTTGTGTTGCAAATACATGGACCAAACGTGGCCGTCGAACAGGCCGGGGGGGTCTGGCACCGTGTAGTTCCTAATATTAGATTATTATTATTATTATTACCATTATTATATGTGAAGTTTAAAGGTCAGGTTCATAAAAAGCCTCCCAGCTTTAACGTGTATGAAACAGCCTCTGCAGCCTGCACTTGAAGTCTCGTTCAGGCGCGTTCCCTAACTCTCGCGATACCTGGGCATGCCACCAGCACTCAGCCAGCGACCACAAACCCGCTCCGCTCGGAAAGATGGCGAGGATGATACGAGGAGCCACCTGGGCTGCACGGAGGCTGGAGGTAAACCGCTGCTCTAGGTTGGCACCGGAACCGGCGGCGAGCTGCGGAGAAAAGCCCCGAGTTTTAGCGCCGCAGACGGCCGCGGAAGCCGCGGGAGTGCGGTCGTGTGCGGGGCGGCGGATGTGACAGCAGTCGGACTGACCGCCAATTCCAGCTAGCTGTCAGCTAGCTTGTTAACACTGCTGGCTAGCAGGCTAGCTGCTAGCTCAGCCAAATACCTGCTGACAACTGAAGCTACCGTTCGTTCAAACCTTTATTATAGACACGTCCGTGATGCTAACAGGAGCTAATTTACCTCAAACTGAGCAGCTAATGTTAAGTCGCTCGGGGGGCTGTGATAGAGCACAGCTAGCCTGTTAGCCTCACCTGATTGAGGACAGAAGCTAAGACGTTAGCGGAGCCCCTTAATGGTCACTGGTGGTTAATTTTCAGTGTTTTTAATGAGGTCAGTCCATCATCTCCTGCTGCTTCTGCACTGTGTGTTTTTGCTCCTCAGGTTTGGTCCTGCAGACTCCCTTCAAGGACGAGCAGCTCCAGAGAATCAGGCTACCTCTTTTTCTGAGGACTGGTCTCCTCCTCATCACTGCTCCTCCATCACTCCTGTCACATACGTGCCTCCAGAAGCACTCAGCCCAGAGAGCAGAGGGATGCTCCACGAAGCCAGAATAATGTGTCAGCGAGGTATGTTGAGTAAAGTCAGGGTTTCAACGTCATGAAGGTGGCTCTCTTTAACCTGCTGCATCACCATGGTAACTGATGCTGCACTGCTAACCTGCTCTGGAGGAGGTTCTGCTCAGAGTTTAGAGGCACCACCCTCTCACCAGCTCTTAACCTGATCATAATCAATCTCAAGCTGAGTGAGTATGTGATGTATGCAGACCATCAGTATGTTCTTAATACCACTGAACAAAGCCGAGCAGCGACAGTAAGTCAAGCTGTACGCAGCATGATGTAGGAACCTGCAAGCATTAAATGATGAAGAGGAAAATGCAGGAAAAATGTTTATGCTTGGTCTTGATTTGCTGCCTCGTCTGTTGGTACTGCAGCTGATAGAACACAGGTTAGAAATGGAATCAGTCCATTGGTATTTGGCACAGAGAATCCTTTCATTTTTAGTTTGGCTTAAAACTAAAGTGATTTCCACACATCCTTCATTATAGAGGATCAGGTTTATATGTATGAAGCTTAAGAACAGCTGTCATGTAGCTGCAGAAACATACATTCATTTACACAATCTATTTTCAACCAGCATTTTTTGCAGTAGCAGCGGCTTTTTAAAACAATATCTCCTTTATAGCAACAACAACAGTTTGTTTTGTGCAGCGCTCTCACAGCCTGATGAAGGAAATCTGGTTCTAGGTTTTGTTTAGTCAAAGAAATCCTGGATATGTCAAAGTTGCTTCATAGCACATCCGTCTGAAACCATGAACCAAATGAGCAGGTGCACATTTATTTGCCTTTTAGATCTTAAAAGTGTAAATGTGCTGCTGATTCTGGACTCCGGAGGAGAGCGTGGGCGCTGTGGGATGAGGTAGTAGTTTGTATAGTTTTAGGATCACACCAGATCTGGGAGATAACTATACAGCCTACTGTCTTTCTCACGGCGACCGAACCGTCACCTGCGTGAAGGAGACAGCCGGCCCATCCACGTCTTGCCTTCAGTTGCCACGGCGACTGAAGTCTCAGTTGCCGTTGGTGATCAGCTGTGCTCATTTCGCCGGTTGTATCGTGAGTCTCTGGCTGTTAGCGAATTGGCCACCAGTCAGAAAACAATGTGTGCTTCGTTAGTCGTCTGGCTGACATCGTATTCGCTCCTTCTGTTAATTTAGCTCCACTTTCTCAGCCGAAGAACGAAACAACGAGTATTACGCAACACGAGTTGTCTCAGATTGAAGCTGCAGCTCATTCACACGCATAAAATTAGCTTCCAGACGAATGGCAGCACGGAACAAGTCGAGGTGTTGTTCTTTATGCTGTGCTGTGGTGAGGTAGTAAGTTGTGTTGTTGTGGGGTTTGGGATATTACAACCCCTATTCTGGAGATACAACTATACAACTTACTGCCTTCCACAGTGTGGCAGCATGATGCACTTTGTTCCAGCTGCTGCAGGTGACATCCGTTGTCTTCATCTCTTTACTGGTTGCAAGTATTGAATGTGTTTTGAGCATTGTATGGGTACTTCTCTTTACTTCTCTTTTTTAGATAGTTAATCCCATGTTTCAAAGTAAACGTTGCAGAAATGTGCAGCTTCTCTGATGTGAATTTTGCTGTTTTTCTTTTGTCTTCTGTGACATTAAACCCAGTTGTGGCTGCAGCTTACAGATATTTTAATGAGCACCGGTTTAGTGTTTATAAATCAAACAGGCAGTCCACAACCAGAAGATATTCACGATATAAAACACAGAAAAGCAAATCCTCACGCTGAAAAAGCTGCAACCGCAGAATGTTTGGAGTTTAAACCATTCACAGGTTATCACGAATGTTTGTACCTGTCATGATTATTTTCGTTGTTGATTTATCCATTTTATTTTCTGAATGAACTAATTAGTTATCTTATTATTATGGGCTGTTGGTTGGTTAAAACATAAGAAAAACTGCTTCAGAATTGATTAATCGTTAATGGAAATAATCAGTAGAAACTGCTCTGTGCTTCTCAGTACAACTTGGAGATAAGGTGTCTCTCTGTTTGGTTATATTATGTTGTAAGAACAGCCTTCATTTGAGCCCAGAACGATCAGATCTGATATTTTAATGCTGTGTTTTTGCATCCACGTCATCTAAATAAAGGATTATTCTTTAACAACTGTAACTGTAGTCTGATTACTTTGTTTTGTCACGTCCAGGATTTAATGTGTTTTTAATTAAGAACATGTTTAAAGGCTTCCAGAGCTCAGTTAAAAAGCCAAATCTTCAGTGTTAGTGTTGGATCAGAGGAAGCATCAGCTGGTTGCCTGAACTGACCCCTCGGAGCTGCAGAGCGGCTCTGATTGGACGACAGCTCTCCGTGGAGGGGGCGTTCCCCCCAAAGCGCTCACTGATTGGCCAGCTCACATTCAGGAGGGCGGGGCTGTGGGTTCGGCGCTGATCAAAGAGGAGTAAAATAACAGAGCTCTCACTCTGACTTTATATTACAGCTTTATAGTGCAGATGGTGATATAACGTCTACATTATCAAACATAAAACCACATGTTTAACATCCACCACTGCAGCATTTTTATCCTAAGAGTTTACACATCAGCTGTGTTTATATCATGTCCATTATTTTTAGCATATATTAAGAAAGCTTTAATTTGTACCATCATGCACAGGCTGCATGTATCTCCATGTACTGCATATATCAAAATAAATATTTTTACCTATTTTATTTATGTGTACAAAAACTATATTTAGGTACAACTCTGCAGCATGTGCACACCACCTGAGTATTTCTATTTGCACAGCCTTATCAGTTCAGATAAACTTTATTGATCTCCAAGGAGATGAATTTACATGTTACAGCAGCAGGATACAAATGAGGCATAAAAAAAAAGATAAGAGACACAAAAGTACAATAAGGATAAAAGTAAAGACTGAACACCTTTCACATGTACAGATGTGGCATTATACCTTCATTGTGTTATATTTCTGCTAGAAGTCCTGCTTCTTTATTCTGCCACATTTACATGCATGCTTAAAGTACTTATTGTGCGATTACAAACACTAGTGGTGGAAGAAGGACGCAAATACTGTGAAAAAAAAACTCAAAAAATACTCCGTAACAGCTCCGTTGCATCTGCACTGAAAATACCGAGGCTGAGTGTTAGAATGTGCTGAATGTATTATTAGTAAAATGTACTTAGAGTGTAAAAATACACTTGACTCTGGTTGGTGCGACACTGTTAAACATTTTACTATTAGATTACAAACCATTAGACGCATTATGAAGAACTGTTTCTTCCTACAGGCTCTGAACTCTGAATCCCGACGTGACCGATTATATTTACTGTAAATCACAAAGCTGTTTGTGTGCTGCTCTCTGTTCCATTGTCCACCGACCTCATGTACATCAGGTGTCAAAACTGTTGTATTTAGTGCTTCATAACTGTATTTGCACCACTGTTATGTTGCACTAAAACTCTGGTTCACTCTAAACACAAGATAAGATCAAATGTATTGATCCCTCACCAGGAAAGTTTACATTTAACAGCAGCTGGATGAGGAATGAAGGAGGCAGGACAAGAATTACAAAAAGTACAGTGAGGCTAAAAATGGAGGTGAAATATAGAGAATGTACAGGCAGGATGAGTTTATAAATGTGCAGGTATGAAAAAGGATAATGTACCTACAATTGCAGTCAAAAATGTTATTGAGGAGAAAAGCTCAGTGTGAACATGATGCTGTTACATGTTTATATTTTGTTGATTGATGTGGAAAAGCTGTAAACACAGTTTTACATTCTGCTGTTGGTTGTGTGGGAGCAAACTTTGTTTCTGAAGAGCTGCAGAGAGAAAAACAGCAATAAGAGACGACACTGGAAGAGCTATAAGGAGAAGAAAAGCTGTTTAGGGACACCGTCGACTCAGAAGAGCTGCAGGATAAACAATCAGTGTGAGAAATGTAGTTTCACTGGAAAAGCTTTTGGATAAAAACCTGTTTTCATAATGCAGGCCTACAGAGAGCTGTACACAAGCTCTTCTACACAGATCTGTACTTGCACATAGTAGCTTAACATTTCCCTTCCATAACTGGTTGCTCTAGTTTCAATGCATGTGTGCTTTATTCTGTGACGGTAAACACTGAAGTCTAAATCCTGGTGTGTGTTTACCGACGAGTGAAGCTGATTCTAGTGTAAACACCAAATCAGAAATGTTGGGGTTTTGTTTTTGCTGTTTTTTCTGCTTCAAAAATGAACTGATTTAAATTATTTTACAGACTTTTAAAATAACTGAGTGGTGGAATAAACAGATATAGTTCTAGAGCTATGGAGACAATAAAGGCCTTGAATTGCTGATTCACTGTAGTGTTGAAAATTTCTTGTGAACAAAATATTTTTTTAAATGATTTCATGCAAACACCAGTCATTTTATTTCATTGCACAACATATGTCAACATTTTTCCTTGATTTCCCCCCAAAATATTTTTCTTTGCATCTTTAATTTTTAACATGTTCACAGTAGATCCGCGCGGAGTGATACTTCCTGTTCCGCATACTCGATCTTTGTTGTGACGTCACGGCCCTGTCCAGCAAACATGGCGAACATTCGGTGTGTGAAGGTGAGCAACAGAAAATTAAATCCATTTTAACGCTCCACGCTGCATCGGTTATAGTGTTTAGTCCGGCAGGATGTGACTCGTAAGGTTTTGAACAGACTCGTGGTTCGGTGTGTGAGAGTTTCTATCGTCTGGGTGGATTTATGTCTCTGTAGTTCTGAAGTTTCATTGTGCTAACGAGCCCCACAGCGCCCTCAGTAGCGCCGCTAACCTTCGGACCTTCCACTCCAGCAAAAGAGGACACGAAAGGTCGACAGGGTTCAGTTTGGAGGGATGTCGCCTACTTTGGTTCACCTTAAAACATGAAGAAACACATTGAAAACATATAGAAGATAACGACAGAGAGAATCATCCACTGGTTCCTCACAAAGAGCACGTGTTTGTGCTTTATATCTGGGGGTACAGTTTGGTGTTTCCTAAGCATCGAGGGGTCACGACCCCCCCTAAGAATGAATGGTTTCGTCCAAGTCTCCATTCAAAACAACTAAAAACATGTTTTTTAGTGAAATTTAAACTCTTCATTTAAAACCAATTAAAACTCAAATCTAAAACTTATTTATTGGTTTTGCAACCAGTCGCAGCTCCTGTTACAGATTTATTTAATAAACATCTTATTATCACTTAAATACATTTAAAAATAAAACTCCAGCATCTTTTTTCTTTTCTTTCTTTTCCTTTTTTTTTTTTTTTACTTTTGTGTCCTTGTTCCTGTGAATAGTCTGCAGACGTTTTTACATGGACTGTTTGCAAGATAAACATATTAAAAAATAGCCAACCCTAATTAATGTTTAACTCCCTTCATGAGCTTGTGTGGCTGTGAGTGATAAATTATCATGAACACAGTTTGAACACAGTGTCTTAGTTCCCTTTAACTTTTCTGTCAAAGGCATAAAACATGTATGTATATGTAAAAAAGAAATACAAATGTCCTCTTTGGAAACAAGTATGAATGCATACACACATATGAACATGCACTGATGTTATTTGGCACCTGAGACAGTAAACACATTTCTTACAGACGTATTTGTCACCATCAGAAAATGGTCTTCATGGTGAATTAGAAAGTAAGTGCTGTTGGAAAAAACCCAGAGATATTTAATGCATCATTTAATGTATTATCCTAATGGCTGCAGAGCTGTATCTGGGGAATTTTACCATCTACCATCAGTTAAAATAGTTTATCTTCTTTGTCAGCTGACTCAGTGTTTTTACAAACTAGAACTGATCACTGGTGTGGTTTCTAATCAGGACTGAACACACAAGTCTGACCAGAGCCCGTCTCTCTCAGTGATCCATGTGTTTTTCTTCCTCCTGTCCTGCCGTCCGTCCATGTGTTCAACAGGGGATGGTCGGACTGGTGACCGGCGGTGCGTCCGGTCTGGGTCGGGCCACCGTAGAGCGCCTGGTGCAGAGCGGGGCGTCGGCTGTCATCGTGGACCTTCCCTCCTCGGACGGCCAGACGCTGGCTGCCAGTCTGGGGGATCGATGTGCCTTCGCTCCTGCAGACGTGAGTCCAAAACTCAGCAGAACAACAGATTCAGACACGTTTCCTCAAACTAAACGTATGTTTCTAAACAGAATTCTGTCCAATATCATCTCTGTGCAGTCTTGTTGTTTCTATCCAGAGGGATTTGGACAATCTGAACGAATACTTTTTTATTTTCTTCTGCTCATATTTCTTAAATGTTTCGTGTAACCATGCAGATGGCTCCACTTTGTTATTCTACGTTTTTAATGTGTTGCATCAGGAGCCACTTGGTCAGAAAGAACCGCTGATGTTTCCGTCACGTCAGTAGATTCACTCTAAATGTTCATTCTCAGGGAAACGCTGATATCAGGTCTTTGCAGAGCTGACAGAGGAGCTTACTGACTTCATGTGCTGCACCAGTGAAGCCTTGCAAAAAAAAACAAAAAATACCTCAAGATTCTTGTTAACAGGTCAGAAAACCTGCAGGTGAAACAGAAACAGCAGGTCGAAGTCAACAAACTGAAGATGTTTTTTCTGCCAAGAACAAGTGATCCTGTAGGTTTCTGTGCTGACATGATGTAAGACCCGACTTCCAGCAGCCGTCGTGACTCAAAATGCAAAAGAATTAAAGAGAGTTGATGCTATTTGTGCAAAGATGAGATCTTTGTGACTCCTGTGATACCAGATCGTGAAATGTTCAGTGAAGCAGTGGTGCCAGAGTGACCAGTTCACACATACTGGTAGACTGGCCCAGCAACAACCCTGCATGTACAAAAGCTGATGTCAGTCTCATGTTACAGTTTAAAACAACAGTCTAACCGACAGACAGAAGTCACATCAGACCGTCCTCCTTCTGAGTCTGATCCCATCGTCTCCATTAACAGATCAATCTGAAAGAACGAGTCCTCTCTGTCCTCCAGACGTTCCCGTTCTTCAGAGCCACAAATGTAAAAAAGAATAAAAAACAAAATTAGACTTTATTTTATTATTTTAGAAAACAAAAACATTTCTTTCTTTTATTTGTCTTTTTCTTATTGCTGGAGGTAAAGTGGACGAGACGAACCTGCAGCGTGAACCTCCAGAAGCCTCGTTCTCAGTCAAACGAGTTCAGGGTTAACGGCTGCAGGATCGTGTTGGAAACATCCCGCGAGCCAGAAACCAGGCTGCAAGTGTTTAAAACGTATACGAGGAAATGAATCCTCTGAGCTGCCTGAATAATTACCATCCGTGTTATTTCTCAGGTGACTTCGGAGGCGGACGTCCAGTCGGCGGTGTCTCTGGCCAGAGAGAAGTTCGGCCGCTTGGATCTGGCGGTGAACTGCGCCGGCATCGCTGTGGCCGTTAAAACCTACAACTTCAGCAAGAAGATTCCTCACAGCCTGGAGGACTTCCAGAGAGTCATCAACGTGAGTCGGACAGACAGACAGACAGACGTAAGTACGGCTCAGAATCAGCGCTCCAGGTGTGACCTCTCTGTGTTTCCTCTGCAGGTGAACATCGCAGGATCCTTCAACGTGATCCGACTCGCTGCCGGCGAGATGGGAAAGAACGAGGCGGACGCAGACGGGCACCGAGGATGCATCATCAACACGGCCAGCGTGGCGGCCTACGACGGACAGGTGCTGTGTTCAAGCAGTGTGGTGATGCTGCTCAGGCTTAGGAAAACAGGAAATGTGCTGAGTCATGGTAGGAGACGTCCCAGCTGACAGTTTAAACACATTCAGGATACTTTTCCCACTATATACTACATCCTGACAGGTTTTCAGGACATTCTGGAACGTGAGATTTTTTGACAAAAACGACATGCTATAGTATGACTTTTTTTTATCAGGACCAAATACACAATGTGCTTTTTATTCCATAAGTACCTTCCTAAGCTGTCTTTAAACATGCTCAGGACACTTTTCCCACTATATACTACATCCTGATGTGTTTTCAGGACATTCTGGAACGTGAGATTTTTTGACAAAAATGACATGCTATAGTATGACTTTTTTTTATCAGGACCAAATACATAAAGTGCTTATTTTTCAGGAAGTACCTTCCTAAGCTGTCTTTAAACATGCTCAGGACACTTTTCCCACTATATGCTGCATCCTGACAGGTTTTCAGGACATTCTGAAACGTGACCTTTTTTGACAAAAACGACATGCTATAGTATGACTTTTTTATTGAGGCCCAAATACATAAAGTGTTTTTTTTAAGGAAGTACCTTCCTAAGCTGACTTCAAACCTGTTCAGGACACTTTTCCTACTATATACTACATCCTGATGCGTTTTCAGGACATTCTGGAACGTGACCTTTTTTGACAAAAACGACATGCTATAGTATGACTTTTTTATTGAGGCCCAAATACATAAAGTGTTTTTTTTAAGGAAGTACCTTCCTAAGCTGACTTTAACCCCGAGTGTAGACTGTCCAAAGAAAAAGGAACAGCAGCCTGAGAGAAGAGCAGATAGTTCAGTCCTGGATTAACTCGTCGTTTCTTCTATCAGCTGCTGCCTTTGAATAAATGAAACCTTTTTGCACTAGACTGAAAAAAAAAACACACAACAAAGGTCAAACCTAAACGGTCTCTGTGTTACTCAGCTTCGTTTCTCTGTTTCCTCCTGAAGGTCGGACAAGCAGCTTACTCTGCCTCTAAAGGCGGCATCGTTGGGATGACGCTGCCCATCGCACGAGACCTGGCGCCGATGGGCATCAGAGTGCTCACCATCGCACCCGGTTAGTTCACACAATACAGTAACACACACATCGTATCGGCAGGAAGTGAGAAGCTGCAGACGAGCTGCTGCTTCCAGTGTTTATGGTCAACAAGCAGCTGCTGACTGTAGATCCACAGGAAACACATTTACAGACATCAGGGAGAGCTCAAATAAACACAGTCAGAATCAGGAAACTCTGTTGATTCCCACAAGAAAGTTGCTTTTAATTCAGGATTAAAAATATTTCTTTAAAAATGCAGTCGGTCGAGTAACGTCCGTCTGGAACGAGGACCTGCAGTCGTGTGAAACCAGCGACCTTTAAGAACCGACGACTGGATCTTAAAATCAAATCTAAAATAAGATCCTCCTGCAGTGTTTCTGCTTCAGATTTATTCTTCGTCGCTGGATTCGTCCTTTAACTCGTGTTCTCCCTCCTCCAGGGCTGTTCGCCACTCCGCTCCTCGCCAGCCTCCCGGAGAAGGTGCGCTCCTTCCTCGCCCGCCAGGTGCCCTTCCCTCCTCGCCTGGGCGACCCGGCCGAGTTCGCCCACCTGGTGACGTCGCTGGTGGAGAACCCGATGATCAACGGGGAGGTGATCCGGCTGGACGGAGCCATCCGCATGCAGCCCTGAGACGCTCGGTTTGAGAAAAGATCATCAGCTGCCTCCAATCAACAGAACACACGTGTGCGTGTGTGTGTGTGTGTGTGTGTGTGTACGTACGTTTGTCTTTACGTTGTAGAACATCATGATGGTTATTATTACCTCACCTGTCGTCAGTCACAAACCTTTTTAACTGAGTGAAAGATTGTAAAAATGTTCTTTATTCAGAACGCTGCAGTAAATAAACATCACTTTGGTTTATTGTTCTGAGAAGTTGTTTTTTTTTTCCTCCTAAAACTATAAAAAGAGACTTTTGGATGTTCAGTTGTGCATCAAAATAAAATGTTAGAAGTTGGTCACTGACAGTAGAAACACAGAAATATTTAA